TCAGCCTACTCAGTGCGACAGACTTCAAGTAAGACCATGACCAGACTCCCCAGAACCTGGCAGGTGTGCAGAAACTCCAGGGAGTCAATGTTTGAAAAAGACCCAGCAGCTAGGCATTGGAGATAAAGGGCAGTATTGGATGGAGAAGCCTACTGCATGCCTGCATGTTAATGGCTAAGAAAACAACCCGCTTAAACTTACAAAAGATGACAACAGGTGCAAAAAAGGGTCTTGAAAAGATGGACAACACAGGGCCCCTAAATCCTGGGAAGGCAGAGTACTCCTGGAGGTTGAGAAGGAAAGCTGCCCAACCTCTGGACTTGGCAGTGGGTAGTACTGGGTGAATTCCTTACTCTCTCTATGTTTTCTCTATTCAATTCACAGGCATTTGCTGAATACCTTCTACAAGACATACACACCACTCTAGATGCACCAAACAAGACAGACAAAAATCCTGCCCTACACAGCTCAGATTTTAGCAAGGGAGATGAACAAAAGCATCTATCATGTCACATGCTGAGAAGTGCTCAAGCTAAAACGAAGTGAGGAAAGGGGTGGGTAAGAGGAGGCAGCTTCTCAAAGGGTGGTGAGAAAGACCTCATATCCACTGTCTCCCTGAAGGCAGAGTAGAGGGAGTCAAGTGGGTAGCAGAGGTAAGAGGGGAGATTCCTGGTGACACCTGGAGGGAAAGCAAAGGCACTGGGGCAGAAATATGCTGTGGCCAAGCTAGAGTGGTGTACACAGTGACAACAGACCTGGTCAGCCAGACTTTGGCTTTTATCTTGACAGATGGGTCATTGGACAGGAGGATCCAAACAGTGACCTCACAAGGACAGCATTCAACCCTCAGCTAGTCCATGGTCAAAACACTTTATGCCCTGTAAGTCACCCAGTTCTTATACACAAGAGGGTAAGATTAAGCATAGAAAGATTAAACAACTTGCTCAAGGTGACACAGCTGGGAAGTGGCGAATCTGTCATCCAGGCAAGCTAGCCTGAGTCTACACTCAGGTTTACACTATTTTACCATTTAAAGAAACAGTCTGGAGGGGCTGGGGATTTAGCTCAGCGGCAAAAAGTGCCTGCCTGGCAAGCGCAAGGTCGTGAGTTCAGTTCCTGGTACCGGAGAAAAACAAAAACAAAAACAAAAAAGAAACAGTCTGTGTCCAGAAAAACTATAGATAGACAGTAGAGGGACCAAAGGTGAGAGCAAAGAAAGTAATTAAGAGGCTCCCGGGGTAATTTAGATCAGGACATTCAACTGAAAGTACAGAGAAACAATTGTTCGAAACAAAAGGTGAGTTGACTGGGCACTTTGAGGGTTGCATGAAGGAATAAGAGAGAGAGCAAGGTGACTTTAGAAAAGTACAAGGTGTGATGGGAGGACTTAAGTTTGACTTGGACAGAGCTCCAAGTCACAACATCAAAGTAACATGTGACAGGTGGGTGCGGTGGCATAGGCCTGTAATCCCAGCACTTGGGAGGCCAAGGAGGGAGGATCACTATGAGTTCAAGGCCAGTGTGAACTATTTATCAAGAAGCTCTATCTTAAACCTTCCCCTCCACCAAAATAATAATAATAATAATAACGTGACAATGTGGAAAAGGCAGTTAGGAGCTCAGGAGGGAGGTCAAGAGCTGGAGATGAAGATGGAGATTGAAAAATGTCAAGAAACGGCATTAAACCCAAAAGGCTGAATGAGATCACATGGGAAGGAAGCAGGAACAGGAGAAGGCCAAAATTGAGCAAACCAGTCAAAATGTTTTTCCCACCTCAAGGCTACAAAAAGACTATAAAACAACCCCCGGAAGTGCTCTAAACTGTGCCTGGCCATGCAGAGCTCAAAGGGTGGCTCTCCACTCCTCAGTGCTACTGCTGCTTGGGCTGATTGAATACACAGATACAATTTTGCCTTGCCAACTGGACTATGAGCCAGCAGCACACCCGCAGCAGGCTCCCTGGGCCTCAGCACAGGTAAACCCAACCCAATATACTCCGGTTGGAGTCCCCGTGCAAGGCAGGCATCAAGCACTGGCTGAGGTATCCAGCACTGTGGCTGCAGCCATTCACTCAAGCATCTCCCTGCAGCTTCCCGCCCAACCCAGCAGTATGACCTCATCCATTCCTTTTGTCATCCTCTGAAGGGCTTCACATCCTGCACTCACAGGCGGCACTCACTCTGCACCCCTGACTGACCATTCACTCCCTTTAATGAGTAATGGGTTGCAGTGGTTTGAGGCACTCCTACAACTGGGAGTCCAGTTTGTGGCCAGCAAAGAGGTCCCTTGCCAAGTGATTGGCCTCCAATAGTCGACAGCCCTAGGCGGGACTGCTGTGCATCAGGTAACAAGGTACATGCAAGCATGCAAAGGCAAGTCAAATTCCTACCATGAGCAACCCAAGTCCATCGGGTGATACTTGACAGGTATCGCTGTCAACAGGTTGCCACATTCCATTTATTTCTACCACGTTTATTGTTACAGTAAAACCACATCCTGATTATCTAAGTGACACTTAATCCGCGAGTATTTGGAGTTTTATGTGATTTCTCAGATTTCCCCAACTATGTTAAAAGCAGTCAGGGTCCTGGCCGAGCACTGTTCCATCCACACCTTTCCCGCCTGAAGGCGATGCTAAGGCTTCGGGCCCCCGGGCGAGGTCTCCTTACCCAGGCGTGCGGACAGCACGAGCACTGGCGACACCTGGACCTGGGGCCCGCCCCCAAGCTCCAGCCAAGTCCAAGGCCCCGGCCCCCGCCCTACGTGCTTGGCTGCGCCCGCTACCCGCGGCCACGTTGCCTCACAAAGGCCAGGACACCGCGTGGCCCGGCCCGCCTCGCACCCCCGCCCCGCCCCGCGCCTGGGCCCACAGCCTCGGCCCAGGAGGGAGGAGAAAGGGAGGGAAGGGCGCGCCCTCTCGCAGGCCGCAGCGCCCGCCCTCCAGCCCG